GTTATCTGTTTGAAAAGCTAAAAATCTAAAAAAAGTGTAGAAAATAGTACTTGAAATACGCATCTTTAATATATAGGGATTTAAAATTTTGATAACACTGAGAAGTTGCTTAAAAGAGGTACTAAAGGTTATTGCTTGCAGCAGTAAGTAAATATTTGTAAGAAGTCATCACCTTAGATACCAAAAAGGCACGTATCTGTTGAACAGAACTTAAGTGAGAAGGACATTAGCTGATGCGTTTCAGTGTGCTTATGGTGATTTAAAGGCTTCTGCAGTGAGTTCCTCTAGCAGAAGAGCTGCAAGAGTTGTTGTAGTACCTTAATTAAGGGTTGAAAATGTATCTCTGCCCTAATTTAAAAAGCAAAACAAAAAAACCCAACAAAAAAACAGACGAAACCATTGATAGTGCTAATGAATGCTTAGCTATTTAAATTGGTTGGGTCCTTTTGAATTGCTCCCAGTTCCCTTTCCAATTTTCTTCTTTCTGCAGTAAGAAAAAAACAAACCACCCAACCAAAACTAGCATGTCATTTGAGTTCTGTTTGCTGAGTGTGTGAAGTGTAAGCAGTGCAAGTAAATGCAGACTTGCTGTAGCGTTCTGTTATGGGTCTTGGCTGTGAACAGGGGTGACTCACTAGGAGTTAAGTGTTCATTCGTCATTACTGTTCTGTCTTTAGCTGTTCTGTTGACAGTGAGTAACAGATTTGCCTGGTACATCAATTAAGAAGTTTAATGCTAGTTGGCAAAACTCTAATTTGAGTTGTGAGGCTAAAAACATTCAGATAAAGACAGTTTTGCCGTAAGCAGTAGTAAATAAGCTTTTTATATGGGTCACTTAAAATTTGTGTAAAAGAAATGATCTGTTTCAGGATGAGCATGTAAATAAATGTGCATTTTAGAGTATTATTGAAATCTCATTTTATGATTTGGAAATACTCTTTAAGTTCATTAATTTGGCAAGGCAGTTAGCATTGTGGCATTAAAAGCTGTCTCCTGTTTGTGTTACAGCAGAGTTCTGATGTCCCATCTTACTGAGATACTGTTGTGCTAATCCAGTGGCTAGTCTGGCAAAGAGTTCATGATGCATTTTAGGAAAACCTCAGTGAACTAAATCACTGGAACTAGGTTTTTACTTTCTTACCTAAATTGGTGAAATACTGTTATGGACGTTGCAGATCAATTCCATTGAAACAAGCAGAGTCTGGGGGATTCCTCTGAATATGGAGAAAAGCTGTAGTAAAATCTACCTAAATTCATCAAGTATGTTTGAAACTTGTTTTTTGTTAGGTGAGGTACTGGATCATCTGGGAAAGTAATTAGCTTGATAATGCCCTTTTGTACAATAAAGAAATTGTATTTTAAAAATTGTTTTTCCTTCTAAAAACAGCAGGAGAGAAAATGACCTCCTTGAGCTCATGAAATCACTGCACTGCACTAGTATTTACTGTTTTGTATTGAAAAGACTGGATGGTGGTACTCGCTAATGATGGGGAATTGCAGAGTTAAATCCTGTAACTCTGTAGGTGTTTCTTGCAGGCTCTTAAGCAGCTTTTGTGTCTAGATCAAACTAAGGCATGGTGAGCTCAAGTTCAGCTGTGAATACTTTGACATTTATTCTTGTTTATAGGCAGACAGATTTCAAGCTTGCTTGTTTGATATTGTTAGAGGGGGAAAAGTACTGAATATTTGATTCACCTGTGAAAGAACATTAGATAAGAAATACTAGTTCATTATTTTTCTGTAATTTATATTGTAGTACTCTGGTGTATTCTGAAACTTGTAAGTACCTATGTTGTCTTGTTTTATGGAAAAAGAAAATTAAAATTCTCGAGAGAAGACAAAGTGGATTCTGCCATGATTCTTCCTTACTTGTGTGTACTGAGAGTGTGTGGAAAAAATTTCAGGTATTTAACTCTCTTAATCCTGAGCATAAGTAGTTTGCTCTGTTTTACCTCTGGTCCTAGAAGCACAGGTGTGTACTTAGCTAATTTAAATGAATAATAGAACTACTCCAAGTAGTAACATTAGGCATGTTCATCATGTTTACAAAATTAGTTCCAGGTGTAGATGAACTTAGTTGTGATTTACTTCACTGTCACTGGACTTGGTAGGAATTCTGAAATACTTGAAGTGAACTGATAAGAGCCTTCATTTTTAAACTAATTCTTAATTCAGCGACAGGTGGGCACTACATTAAGTTAATGGCAAGTGCATTGACATTTTTTAAGCTTTAATAAATCTTTCTTTGGATAACAGGTGGCTAGCCTCAGAAGTTATGCAGTGTTCAATCTGGATTTTAAAAATATATATATACGTATATAGTAATTGCATAGATGTAAGGATGGTCAGAGTTGGGTTTGGATATGGGGAGTTTGCAGCCTCAGAAAGGAAATCCACAGTCCTACATACGGTGTATAACTACCTGTGAGCTTTCAGTGATGCAGTAGGTTTCTTTTGAAGCAGCAAATACTGGATGCTACCTCCTCAGATACTGTGCTTGGTGGGAAAGTCTAGCCCTGGAGCATGTGGGCGGATCAATCCCAGACAGATCTATGCAATGTAGATCATATAGGCTTGTACAGATGAATGTTTTGAACCTGACAGAATTTAAAAATGTATAAAGAGCAGCCACTAGAAATAATAATGACTGGTTGAATGGAAATAAGGGTGTCAGTACAATATGTAGTAATTAAAAAAGTCGTGAATAATTAGCATATGTTTGTGATCATCTAGCTGTGGGTTCACTTGTAGTATCTGTTTATACGTTCGAGATGTGAACATTTATTCTAATTCCACAGTTTGTTCTGTTTGAATTGTTGAACTTATTGGTCAGAGCATATTGTCTGCAAGAACAGCAGAATTCAGAATTGCTCTAGTCTTTTAATTCAGCTGGGTTCCTCAGAGACTGTGTGCTTACTTAAACCTCCTTTTTACTTCTTTCCCTGAAGACCCAGGTATACCATTTTGTGCCAAGTATGTTCAGATTATTTCTTCTTTAAATGAGCTGTATTTCTGAGAATGTTTTGGCTAATGTTAAATAATTGGAAAGCAGAGTTTTATATGTGAAATAGGAATTTTTCTGTAGGAAGAAAGCTGAGGCTTGTACCTCTTGGCAATAGAGGATTTTTTTTAATATAAAATGTTACTTATAATGGGTATTAATATAGTTTAGAGCCAAAGTTCATTATGCCAGGTCGCAGATGTAAGGGATTCTTTAGGGAAGAGTGTTTGTAATACAAAACTGGTAAAGTAAGAGTGAGGGTAGAGCTGAAGCTTGATTATCACGATGAAAGTACAGCCATTTCAAGCCTGAAGAAATTGTTATATCAGAGATTGTGGAATTACATATACACACAATTTAGCCCACTGGCAGTTTCAGACTGCATTATGAAATAAAGCTTTGTACTGATTGGGGTGACATATTGGGAAGGACTGTAATTTTATTTTTTATTAAACCAGACACTGAAGATAGTGATTGTATAGTACTTCACATACACATTTCTTAATCTTCAAAGTGTGTCAGTGGGAGAGGGTATTCCTGTCCTTCCCATTTTACAAATAGAGGAAACCGGTGCTGTAAATGAAACTAGCCCTGGTTTGCTTTTAGTTATTTAGCCAAAGCTTTGCTGTTTTTTAGCATGGAGGTACCATGTAGGTTCCACTGCCTGAAGACAGGAGGCCTCTGCCTGTAAAGGCATGACCTAGAGTGCCTAGATTATGGTCTCATAGGCATAGTTTCAAATACAACTTATTTGACTTGTCATTGTGCTTTCAAGTTATTACCACTTTTGTGCTTTCTTTGCTGATTTAAATAGCTAATATTGTGTCCTGCCAAGTCAGAAACTGGCTTGTCTTCAGTGGTTGTCACTCTCAGCACATATGCTGTTGGAGAGACTACTTCTTGCATATGAGAAGTCCTATTGGCACCATTTGCATCTACTTAAGTATGATCACAGTTGCTATATTATTTATGTGGTTGAAGTGTGCATAATTCTAAGTAGTGCTTCATTGGGAAAGTTGTAAACCCAGAGCAGGAATATCAGCAACTCATTCTGTAGATTTGGTTGCTGTATGTATTCCTGTATCCATTGCTGAAATGAGAGAATTTGTGTGAAAGATTTATGTGTTGCAGGCATGTTGTTTCACTGTCTTTGTTTAAGGAGGAAGGATTTAAAAAAAAAAAAATTGGCAGCAAAGTTAATCCTATTCCCTCTCCTCTTCACTCTTCTCTTTATCTGTAATCAAGTGCATGTTACTGGATTAGGTGACTGTAAGACTTGGTGAGGCAAATTTTAACAGTTGGCATGGTAATATTTGGTTAATTGCAGTCTGAAGCTGCAAATATAAAAAAAAATTTAGAAAAGAGCAGGTTTACATGGGGAAGTCTGTAGTTGATAGGTCTGCAGTACAGAGCTCTCAGTATATTCACAACTAAGGTGAAGTTGAAGTTTTTCCCAAAGCTACCAGTCTGCTTTAGATGTATGGGACCCAGTAACTACAGTGAGAAAAATAGACCTTGGTAACTTTGAAACAGACCCAAGAACTTGCTGGGTTTAAAGAAATACAGTTTGGAATTGTCATTGTTAACACTTCGGTTTCTTTTAATGAGACTATTTTTGTTTTGAATGTGTTGGTCAGTTTGTGGCATGCAATTTTGTCAGCAGAGCTGTCTTAACTCAGTGCATTAGTCCACTCAAATTGTGAGATAAAATGTGTTAAAAGCCAAGGATTTTATGACAGTTGAAATGAATTAAATTTCGAAGCTTGAATTTACAGGTCTAAATGCAAGTGTTGTTCTTGACTCCATTAGGTATAACTTCAGATTTTTCTTTTGTAAGCCATTTCCAGTGGTATACAGCTACTTTTCCTTTGAAGAATAGCTCTAAAAAGAAATAGTTATTGATATAGTGAATTTGACACTGTAACATCTCTTGCTGAGTCTTGGATTTTTTACTTATTTATTTATTTTTGGGTTACTCTTCTTGTCTTTCAAGTTGGATTTGAAGATTATGGACCAGACTGTGATAGCATGAGGATAACAGCTTTCTTGGATATTCCTGGGCAGGATAACTTAACTCCTCTGGCTCGTCTAGAAAAATATGCCTTCAGTGATAACATATTTAACAGGTAAGGGTACAACAGCTGCACTTGATAACTGATCTGATAGCATTGTGGATGTTAAGGTGTCACTACTTCTGTTGTTATTCTCCTAAGAGCATGCCTAAAATTATTTTTGTTTGAATAACTTCTGTATAACACTTCCATAAAAAAAGACATTTTCATTCTTAGTTATCTGAGTAAGATCTCTTGACTCCATCTCTTGTTTTGTTGGGATGTGGAGAAACTGTGTAACTGGTGTATCTTAATGTTCAGAGAAGAGCTTGGTCTCTTTTTAAGGTGCTCATTTACATTTGATAAGTTCCCCGTGCATCCCATCTACGTGTCGTTGGCAGGGTATTAAGGCAATTGATATGTTGTTCACTCCACAGACAAATTATTGCCAGAGGTCTTCTGGATGTCTTTCGAGATTTCAGTAATAATGAGGAAGACTTCCTGACTGTAATGGAAATAATGGTCAGGCTCTCTGAAGATGCAGGTTTGAAAGTTTGTTTGTGCTTGGTTTGGGTGGGTTGTTTGGTTGATTTTTGTTTTTGTTTTTAATTTTTGTAACTTATTTTACGTAGCTGCAATAACTTTTGGTTTTGAGAAGGCAACGAGTGAACTAAAACTACATAATCTAACAGCAATATCTGCCAGTGAAAATGAGATGATTTTTTTCCTGGTTTTAAAACAGTTTGTATGATAGGTGTATAAATGAAAGGCTTTTACTTAGTACAGTGCCCAAAGTAGTATTTTTCAAGGATTTCATTACATCTGAAGTGTGATGGAACAGTTGTGCATTTTAATACCTCATGTGCATATATTCATGGTGAAGCTAGTGCTCATTTTATCTGGTTTATTTGGGACCTGTTTATTTAGGAGCTGATCCCAAGTCACTGGACTGTGATGATATATGTTGGGCTGTTCTGTTTTATTTAGCTTTCCTTTAAGAACAGACAGTCTCAGTGGTGATATTTGAGTATTTTAATTTTCCTCTGTTATGAAAACATTAAACAAAAAAAAATACTGCTCTTAAGGTACTTCATCTTAATTTCATATTTACTGATGTAGTTTTGACTTCCTTTTTATTAGAACCAACTGTACGTACAGAGCTGATGGAACAAATACCTCCTATTGCCATTTTTCTGCAAGAAAGTCGACCAAAATTCCCAACAGCATTTTTTGAATACCTTATGCCCATAGTGGTGAGATACCTCACAGACGTTAACAATCAGGTAGGAAAAACAGACAACATGAGTTGAATTGTTGGAAAACTCTGTGTGGTTCAGTGAATTTAAAGCATGAGGAAGAGATAATAGGAAAATTCATGTTGATTGATACCTAGCTTTTACGTAGTGCCTTGTGTTTATTGGTTTCAGCCCACTTTGCTAGGGAGGTCTGCATTTTGGTTTTTATACTTTCCTTAGCAGATAATGGGAAACTTACAGGATTTACCTAGCAGTGTATTGACGCAGGCTGTTACAGGAGTCATGCCTTACAAGTCCTGTCTTCTACTTTGTCTTTTGGCTGCACAGAATAGGATGAAATGTCGTCTAACAATTATATTAAACTTCAGTATTTACTACTAATTCCTTGCGATGTTAAAACTGAGAGTTTTTTCTGTTGTTTTTTTAACTTACACCTGTGTGTTCATTGAAAATGTGCCTTTTGTGGTTCTCACGTCAGTAAATGTTGTTTTTATAGTGACGTACTTCTTTTGTTTTGTTTGTTCTGTTAATAGGTTAGAAAGGCAGGTCAAGAAGCACTGCTTATACTGCTAGAACAAGATCTTGTTGCTCAGAGTGACATTGAAAATAAGGTGTGTCCAATTCTGTTGGATCTCTCCGCTCCTGACAGTGACGATGAGTACAAGGTGGAAGCTGTGAATGTAGGTGAATTTGGAAGAAATCTTATCTCTTCACTTTTTTTAATCGCTTTTGTTTTCTGTCTTTAGTGCTACTATAAAGCTCTTTTAGAATATAACAACTTTGTGTGAGATTTTCATAAGCACAAAACCCAGAAAATAAAAATTGTACTTGTGTTCTTAGTGTCCTGAGAGCTCAACGTTAATCATTGAACTTAAACTTTCTATACCATTACTATTTCACTTTGTGTTATTCCTTCTGTATTTGTTAGTAGCCCTGTTGGAAGTTGAGAACCAGCTGTTGTGACGGAGTTGAAGCTTAGGTGTGCTGACCTGTTAAGCCTTGAGTCTGTAGGTTTCTTAGATGTTTGTAGTGTTGAGCACCATTGAAACAATGTGAATTCTCGAAGAATTTGAACTTTTGGGATTCGGGACTTGATGCACTATACTGAGAGGTTAAAAATTATCTTAACTGAATTCAAGAAGAAAGCAAGGTCGTCCTCAGTACTATTGTACTGAGCACTATTTACTAATGCCTTTGGCTAAGCGTAGAGGTGCTTTGGGTAACCTTTCTCTAGGTCATACCTTTTGTGTGATGAGGAAATCTGGGCTTCTGTGTCAATGAAGTGCTTGAGGAACCTTTTTGAAATGATGCTTCTTGAGAATTGAGCTATACAGTACAGTAATTTGGAATAAGAATGTTATTGTTTGCTTAAAAATGTAAAGTATCAAATCTCCAAACTCAGTAAAGTTTTTCCCAAAATGATGAGGGGCTTTTTCCTATAGATGATTGATGTGTTGATTACTTGAATTGAATATTAACAACTACCATTCCTTTTCATTTATAACAGTAATTAAGATGAGGTCCAGGAATAGTGCTGACATTAAATAAGCAATCAAACCTTTTGTGTTTATTCATTAACATATTTGAATTTTTAGTTTATCACAACAGATCTTTAATTTTTATTCTGAAGTTTTGGAAAGATCAGGTTTAAAGAGACCATCTTTGTACTTCAGGATGCTAAAGGATTGTCAAAATGGTAGCCAAATAACTTTTAAAATGCAGTTGATTCTTGGCAGCCTTGTTTTAGTTCTTAAGATCGTTCAGTTCTCCAGCAAATTCTTTACATTTGCTCTACCAGGTTTCAAAGTAATGTTGTAAATGTATAAATGATGACCTGATCTTAATTCTTAAGCATTTTGGAAAAAACATTGCCTGTTCACTTTCAAGAAATCACTTGACTCAACAGAAAAGTGCTGGTGTGTAATTACAATTCAGCATGGATATCTGACACTTGACCTGTAAAATAGTTTTACCAGCTAGATTTTCCTCTTCCTTGTTTGGGAGTTGGGTATTGTTTGGGCAGTTTTCCAGGGTGACATCTGAGTACCAGATGCTTTTTAGGAGTTTGAAAATTTGTAGGAAAGACCTTAAATGGTGTCTTCCTTTGTAATAGAATGCTAAATAAGAACTAAGGCGAATGTTTCTACAAGTAAAGCTTATTTTTCATGGAGGTAGAAAGCTTCAATAATTTTTGAAAATTAAAAATAGCAGGATGAGTACTGTTACTGACAACACTTGTGTAAGAATTCAACTCCTGGTGCTGCAGGCAGAACAGTTAAGTAGGAAGGAGCATGGGAGCCTATTCCTTTTTACTGTTGCAAATAGAAGAATGATAGCAAGTTATCCCAGAAAGTGGGAGCTGAAAGGAAGCAGATGATCCAAAGCACCTGGTTTTCACAGCAGAAAAGTGGTTTGCAATGGTGGTTGAAATTAACAGTTCCTCAGAGAAAGCTACATTAATGAGCATGTTACTACTTTCTTTAATTATGCTGCAATGTTAACTCCTAAGATTTCTGAGGATGATTCCTGTAAAGGATGCATTAGCTCACTTATATAACTGGTTTGTCTTACTCTCCCTTTTCTCTTCTGTTGTACGGCAAACTTTTATCATGTTGTCTGAGCCTATAAAGAGCTGGAACTGTGTTTGTTTTTAAGTATCTGAACAGTCCTGTTCAAGCCAAGGGGCTTACTTGAATACTTAAGCTTGAGATACTTCTAATATGCTTAAAGACTGTGACTTTGTATGCTGGCTAGTGTAGTGGAGCTTTTGTCTTCTCCATACAAAATGCCAGTGTATGCTACACTGTAAAACACCTTGAAAATACATTTGTTAATAAAAGTCTATTTAGCTGGATAGAAAAGACAATTAATTGTGTGCAGAAATGTTATGTTCAGGCATAGAATTATTTTAAGTAAAAACTATAGTTCTGCTTTGCATGAAACAGGTGTATGAAGAGACAAGTGATGTGTAGCAGTTAAATCTATTTGATGATAGGGGCTCTCTTGCTCTCAGAAATAATTTTTAGGAGGAATATTTGGCTGTGCTTACAAGTTTTATTATTTTCTTTTCCTTACACATATCCCCTTCTTGATCTTCAGATAATCTGTAAAATGGCTTCTATGTTGAGCAGAACTACAGTTGAGCACATGCTCCTTCCTCGTTTCTGTGAACTGTGCAGTGATGGGAAATTGTTCCAAGTCCGAAAGGTTGGTGTGTTTCAACCCTGAACCACTTAAAAATGAATTTGCATGTTGCTGTTCAAATGCTTTCATGAATAACTTAGTCATAAATTTAGCTGATGGACTTTGAAAGAGTATGGAAGAGCAGTTGTAATTTATTGACATGGTTATAGCTTCTGTAGTTCAGCAAATGGATAACAGTCCTTAGTGAATAGCTTTGGTGTAGCAGTTAGACTTACCTTGCACATTTAATAGTTTTGCACAACCTTTTTTTTTAAGCCACCTCGCTTGGTTATAGGATGTGAACAAGTTACCTGATCTCTGCCATCTTATTTCAAAAGTAGAAGTTCAAAAGCAATAGATATGAGACATCCTTCCTTAAAAAATAATAATAAAAAAACTTAAAAAATATATCCTGAAACTTAATTTAATTCATGTTTTAGTACCAAAGGAAACTTATACCATAAGAAGTCTTAAAATATTTGAGTAGACTTGAGTGTTGTGCAGAACTTTAGCTTTGTCCTTAATATAAGCTGCACTTGCTGGAATTTGAGCTGCATTATAGCCTTTTAAACAAGCATATAGAATGAGTAAGTCTTATGTTAACATGGCCCTACCTTAATTTATTTCAGATTTTGGCAACATCTTTTTCCAACATGAGGGAATGTCCCTTTTACCTTAAATACAGCATTTGTAACGTACTGTACATGGCACTAACTTGAGACCTTGATTCAACTTTGCTTCACCGAAGATAGCTCTGGCAGTACACCTAAGTCCTGACCCTAGTATCATATTTTAGTTTACTTCAGTTTTGACAGCTGCTGTTCAAAGTAATTTAAGTGTTCAAGTAGGCTTATTAATCCCTTTTAATGATTACTGAAGTAAATGATGCTTTTCATGCAGAAACCTTATATTACTATTGATTTCAAAGGCATGTGGCTTATGGAAGCTTGCTCTAATGAGTCTTTGTTCGGGATGAGTTAATATTACAGGATATTGTTACAGGGCTGAAATTTGAATAGTCAAACATGCAGTTGTTACATGGGATAAATAATGCATGGTGAAGTTGATAGTAAAACTAATGCACTTGAAAGAGTGGAGAATGACATTCGTGACTTTTTTATTTCTTAGATTTGTGCAGCTAATTTTGGTGACATTTGTAATGCAGTTGGGCAAGAAGCCACGGAAAGACTGCTGGTATGTAAAAATCAAAATCCATTCACAAGACTTGTATTGATCAGTTCAAAAGGTTTAATAATGAGTTGTTTTATTGTCATCTGTGTAAATTAATCAGTGTGCATGTGCTTTTAATTGATTTGGCTACAGCTTTGGTTGCAATTATATAGCAAAACTGGGAATGAATAGGAACGGAAAGTTTTTATTTTGCAAAACATTTTTTAAAATGTAACTGACAGTGCATCTATGTATGTACACAGACACTTTAGAATTACTGACTCTTTCTTTTTTTCCCCTGAACTAGATCATAAATCAAGTTACAATTTCAGGAAAAATAGGCCATTAATAAGTCTTTCTTTTTTTTTTTCTTAGTGCATATAGTTATACATAAAATACTAATGAAGTAAATGGCAGACAGATAGTTTTTCCAATTTCTTCAGTTAATATGTTTTTTAACATGTCTCTTTCTTTATTCTTCACTCATTCTCTCTTGAGTTATCATTGTCTCCAGTTTCCAAACAAATACCTTGATAGTAAATTGCTGCAGTCTTTTTAGTCTTTAATTGGTCTTGTTTTTGCTTATTTTTGTCAGATTCCCAAGTTCTTTGAACTCTGTTCTGATAGCGTTTGGGGAATGAGGAAAGCTTGTGCTGAGTGCTTTATGGCAGTGTCTTACACTACATCCCCAGAAGTTCGCAGAAGCAAACTATCCCCGCTGTTTATCAGTCTCATTAGTGACACTTGCAGATGGGTAAGAACTTGCTCTGTAACTGATGCGTCTTCCCAGGCAGATCACACACAAATAATGGGCAAGTCAGAAGTGTGCTGTAAAAGTTCTCTAAATTTGCTGGGATTAGAGTCTAATCTACTAAAATCTGATCTCCTCTAAGAAGATGGTATCTTAATTTTCCCTCTGTACTACTTGGAATTTGTATCAACAATTTTTTTTGAGTGTAAACACTCTTCTGAGAATAGGTTGCTTGTGTTAAAGGTACTAGTTGAAGTAGATAGTGACATCCTTTAAATTTACAACTTTTAAAAGATTTCCTTACTGTGATTGTAGGTACGTGCTTAATATTCTAACACCCTTTGCTTAGGTGTCACTTATTTGCTGATTGATAATCTGTTATATTTGCTATTAAATGAAGCTGTTATAGTAAGAATCAGTTGGTTCTTACTAAAAAATTGAACCCATTTTTTATCTTTCAGTGTTAACTCTGTGGGAGTTGCATGAATCTTGACTGTTGTCTTTATACTACCACAGGTTCGTCAGGCTGCTTTTCAGTCTCTTGGCCCATTTATTTCTACCTTTGCAAACCCTTCAAGTGCTGGTCTTTACATTCGAGAAGATGGGACACTGAGTATCCGACCATCAATGCAAGATGTGAATTCCAATTCCTGTCAGCCAAGCAACAATATAACTGTGATGTCCTCTAGTACAAATGATACCTTGTCCAGGTAAAATCATGGGAAAGGTGTGGTGTAGTGGAAGGGGGAAGAAGGAAGAGAATTCTTTTCATTACTGTTCAGGGATAAAAATCTTGACTTGAGAATATAGTTCTAGAAAAGATCTGAAGAGTGAGGTCATGCATGTGTCTGAGTTTAGCCACATTATTGAAAAATTCACTTTGATGGCTTCACAGGAGAGTAAATGGAAAACTGGTGGAGGAAAGCATAATAGTAACGTAAATTCTGTCTGTTTGCAGAGAAAATAAGCTTCTGCAGTTAATTCTGTCTTTTATGAAGTATTTCACTGAAAAGTATTGTTACAGAGTTAAGTTTCATTTGGATAACCGTGTGTGTCTGTTACCAGTTTGGAACAACCAATGGAAATCAAACCAGAATCATCGAGTGAGGAGACTTCAGCTGAAGTTAATACAAAGCTCTCCATGGAGAACCTAAGTAAAGATACGCGGGAAGAAAGTTCAGCTTATTGTACCAATCCTGGAGAAGATGTGTCTCAGTTGTCTCAGGGTGACAAAGCTGCTGCTGGTGTCATAGAAGTCACTAAGGACAGCAGTTTTCCTGGAATGAACTCAAGGCTGCAGTCTGCTGAGGATGTATTTAATACTTTTCTATACTGGCGCCCTCCTCTGCCTGATATAAGTCAGGATCTGGAGTTGCTTCAATTCAAGACTGAAAAGCACAAAGATAGTTGCTCTGTGCCATGTAATAACTGTGTTGCTAGTAGTGAAATAAAAAAAGTTCTGGAAAGCTTACAGGAGCACATAGATGATCCGGATGTTCAAGGTGAGACTCTGTAGCAGTAAAATCATATTTTCTCTGAGCAGGCTTTCTCTTGGCCTTTAGAAAACCCTTGACTGCATTTTAATTAGCTTGGTATTCATGATGTGATGAGACTTCCTTGAGTAGTAAATTATAGTAAAAGTTACTCAATAGCCTTTCTCACAAGACCTGACTTATTTCTAGAACACCTGGGGAAGTGTTCTAGCTCCTGTTTGCATGAGAAGTAAGTTGGCTCTAACTGCTAAAGGGGAAAGAGCTCGTGGAAATTTGTTACAACCGTTTTTAATTTAAAGTACTGTTAGTACTGTGGCTTTAGGGACAGAGCTACCTATTGTTACCTCAGCGCAAGACAGACATGGACCTGTTGGAGCAAGTCCAGAGGAGGGCCATGAAAATGATCAAAGGGCTGGAGCACCTCTCCTGTGAAGAACGGCTGAGAGAGTTGGGGTTGTTCTGTCTGGAGAAGAGAAGGCTCTGAGGAGACTTTATTGTGGCCTTTCATACTTAAAGGGGGCCTATAAGAAAGATGGGGGCAATCTTCTTTGCAGTGCCTGTTGCAGCAGGACAAGGAGTAATGGTTTTAAACTAAAAGAGGGCAGATTTAGACTAGATAGAAGGAAGAGGGTGGTGAAACACTGGCACAGGCTGCCCAGAGAGGTAGTAAAAGCCACATCCCTGGAAACATTCAAGGTGAGGTTGGACGGGGCTCTGAGCAACCCGATCTAGCTAAAGATCGTAGAATCTTTTAGGTAGGAAAAGACCTATAAGATCATCAGGTCCAACCATTAACCTTACACTGCCAAATCCACCACTAAACCGTGTCACTAAGCACCTCATCTACATGTCTTTTAAATACCTCCAGGGACGGTCACTCCACCACTTCCCTGGGCAGCCTGATCCAATGCTTGACAACCCTTTCGGTGAAGAAATTTTTTCTAATGTCCAGTCTAAACATCCCTTGGTGCAACTTGAGGATGTTTGATCTCATCATTTGATACTTGGGAGGAGAGTCCAACACCTGCTTCACTACACCCTCCTTTCAGGTAGTTGTAGAAAGCAGTAAGATCTCCCCTTGGCCTCCTCTTCTCCAGGCTAAACAACCCTGGTTCCATCATCTGTCCTTTCTAAGACTTGTGCTCTAGACCCCTTACCAGCTTTGTTGCCAGTTCTTTGGACTGAATCCAGTGCCTCGATGTCTTTCTTGCAGTGAGGGGCCCA